GGCAGAGCCACAACCTCTGTCAAAAGTCAAAACAATGACTTTACATTCTAACTGAATATGATACACATAGATTTCTCGGTTCCAATCTTGATTGGCAAGCGGGGGATCAAATGCCAATCTTACAGCCAGTGCTTACTGCTGAAAATTTGATAGGGTTTGATCAATTTGAAAGCCTCCGACCCTTTCTGTTAGGACCAACGAAAGCTGAGAGGGATACAACATCCCAGCAGAAAAACCGAGCGAGATATTCCATAAAAATGTATCCCTACTTGGGAATCGAACTCAGGTCTCCAGCATACGACAACGAAACGCCTAATCCCTACACAACAGACGCCGATCAATCAATGAAAGAATCAGTTATACATGTACCTTACTGACAAATATCCGCGTTGTGGAAACCTAGCCGATGGGAAGAGTTGCTACCTTAAATTACAACGTTCTATCTGCTCAGTACCTAGTTTTGAGAAATTTGACGTAAAAAATTTTGAGTTTGACAATATCTTGATAACGACTTCGAATATTCTTACGATTTTGATAGAGCAGATAGAATATTGGTTTCTGACCTCATGGTCTTAGTAATTCAAAACAGTAAAAAATAGTGTAATTCTAAGGTAATGAAGTATTTATGAACACAGAAAGAAGCCAACGACCAGGTCCTGATTGAGAGCTCAGTTGGTACCAATCTGGACTATGGTGCAAAGGAACATGGTTCGAGTCCCCAACTTGAACTTGAATTATTTTGGGGAATTTTCAAAGATCTTTTCCAGTAGGATTCGTCGGTCAAATTGTCGATAAACTTGAAATTCGGAGGTTCCGCCTCTTTACCGAGCTTTACTATATTTAGAGGGACCTAAGCCATACCTATAACATCGACAAGATTATCCACGATGACAACTACCAACTAAAGAAAAGGAAGAGAACCTCAATAAAATACATGGAGACATACATAAATCCAGTATATTAAAAACATAATACTATCTGGAGCCAAGGTTACAATGTCCACAGTAATGGCTTTCTCTCTCTCTCTCTCTCTCTCTCTCTCTCTCTCTCTCT